TGAAAGAACACAAGAACAACAAGCAAACAAGACTAACAAACACCGACGTGACTTGCAATTCAAAGTAGGGGACAAAGCCTGACTCTCCGCCAAACACTTTGAACCCGAACATGGCTTGTCCAAGAAACTCTCGAACAAGTGGCTCGGACCCTTCCCCGTCATTAAAAAAACCTCCCATGTCAACTACAAACTCCAACTCCCCCGTGACATGAGTCGTGTCCCCACTGTCTTCCACGTCGAATACCTAAAAGAATACCATGAATCTCCACCCCAATTCGCTGACCGCCCATATCCTATACCTCCACCAATTATGTTACCCACAGGCACTGAATTCGTCGTCGAAGCCACCATAGCACGAAGAACTACTCAGGTATCTGACCACCCTTAACCAATCACAGAATACAAAGTTAAATGGACGGGATACCCTGACGAAGAATCTACATGAGAACCTCTTGCTAACCTTAAGAATGCTATGAAGCTTGTTCGCGCCTATGATCGTGCTCACCCTATATCCTAGATACATAATATAACTCAAACACCGAACCCTTGCATAAATCCCGCCTCCACCCCGCCCAAACCCCGCATTCCTGCTCTACACATACCCCTGTACCCAGCAAAGCCCTTGCCTCTTGAAACCCCCCTGTCTGATCCGCTCTTGCGTCCACCTCGGCCCGTTCTCCCATCTGTCCTCCGCCACATCCTTATCTCTCTTATCCAAGTCCCCTATGTGGCCCCTGCGCGTCGCCGACGATAACGGATCTAATGGCAAGCGCACGAGGGCGATGGCATGCTGCAGCTCAGTTAGAGGAGATAAAGCAGCTGGTTGGCCACCATGCTGTTCCCATTGGCTGGCACATTGGACTCGCAGACTTCTGATGCAGCAACCTCGACAGACATCAATATCAGTTTGCGACCTGCCATCCGGATCAGACCTCAACACCAGATCAAGACTATCGGACGCCTCATGCTACTGGGACATTCAAGCTGAAGCCCTGTTGACGACGTCCTAAAACGACTTAAGATTGTTCCCTCATCAATACTTCTACGACGCTTCTCAATACCTATTCCCAAGACTTTCGCATAACCACTACTCAAAAATTTTGCAACCATACCCCTAAAAACCCCCAGTTCATCAATAGGACCACCCTAACCCCCGCAATTCCAAAACCCTTAGTTCATCAGTAGGCTTACCCCGTTCCTCGTTATCCCTAAACCTTTAGCTCATTAATAGGACCACCTTGTCCCCCTCAGTTCCAAAACCCTTCGCTCATCAGTAGGATTGCCCTGTTCCCCGTAGTCCCTAAGCCCTTAGTTCATCAATAGAACTACCATGTTCCCTTAGCTCATCAATAGAACAACCATGTTTCCAGCTCACAATGACAAGCCCTGCTCCCTAATCACACAACCAGACACCTGCATTATACCCCTCTTCCCTTGTGACTGGCTGCCAAGTGATCGGACCCGTCCCGTCCTTCGTAGTTTTCAACATTGTTTCACGACTTTTGGCAGTCGGGACGTTGCCTTTTAGAGGGAAGGGATAGTGTTACGGACTCAGCCAGGGCTCGATCCCTGGTCCGCGGGTTACCACCCGCCAGGCTGCTATTTTATTCAGAGTTCCTGATCTTCAGTTCTTGACTGTTGGCGCCCTCTGCAGTTGGCGCCCATTCTCGAATTCCTCCACTGACACTTTAAGATTTCGATACTTGGCGCCATCCGACATTCTGCCGCCCACACTCAAACCTGCGATTCTCAGTTCAGTCCTCAGGCAAGACGCACCTCGGCCTCCAGACTGAGCCTGAGTCCGGTACTTAAGTCCGGACTCAAGCCCCGTTGGGGCATTCAGTCTTCGGCCTCAGTGCTTGTGTTTCAGTGTGGCTTGCCACGACTTTGTGTTCGGAATCCAAGATTGCGAATTTGCGAATTTGCGACTTTGAGACTTTGCCACTTCCGTGTCTGCGTCCGTCATATCGAGTCGATTCCGTGTCCGAGTCAAGTGAGTGTGTGTGTGTGCTCTCACTCTCTCCCTCTCTCTCTCTCCCTCCCTCGACCTCTCGGCTTTGCCTTGGTCTTGTCACAAGTACGGCCATCAGTAGTTTAAATGCAAGAATGTGAAGGTATCACAAAAGATACCTCCCAAAGGTGGATTTGGGAACTCTTCTTCCAATAGTGCGGTTTTTACAAGCTCCAATTCGGGAAACACATGGAGCCAGTAGAAGTTGTAGCTGCTTCTACTCCTGATGAAGTGGGAGATGTACCCTCCCTACTTCAAAAGTGGTCGAAGCTATTGACTCTTTAGTCACCCCGTAGACGCATTCTGACCCCACGATACTCTGTTCATTGGATGTGTCTGAAGCCTTAGATGACTTGCAGAGTGAGTTCTCGGCAACGGAGCCTCGTGAGTCTTGGGTGGCACTAAGTAGAGGTCCTAGAGGGGAGCACTTTGTTGTGGAAGTCAGTGTAGTTGGCCGCAAATGTGGTGTCTTCGTAGACATCGGCTCCACGCGAAACTTCATAAGTCGCGACTGTGTTGAGAGACTGCGCCTAGGGAACCGGGAGCACCGCTTAGGTAGATTTGTAGCATCTAATCTAGCCAGCAAGGAGCACATGGTTGTTCATGACTACGTCAAGGATGTAGTCTACACCTTATACTATGGAGGTGAGGAACTTAATCATAAGATTTCATTCCTAGTTAGTGACGACTTGCCTTTTGACATGCTGTTAGGTATGTACTA